GCGTGAGTGTGTGCGTGAGTGTGTGTGTGTGTGTCTGTGTGTGTCTGTCTGTGTCTGTGTGTGTGTGTGTTTGTGCTCTCAGGTTAATCGGCGGCTCGGACAACAAGCTGATCTACAGACACTACGCCACGCTGTACTTCGTGTTCTGTGTGGATTCGTCCGAGAGCGAGCTGGGCATTCTGGATCTGATCCAGGTCACATTCATTACAAACCACACATCAATGCAAAGCTTATTTATTCAGCTTTCAGATGATGCATAAATCTCAATTTCCAAAAATTGCCCCTTATGATTGGTTTTGTGCTCCAGGGTCACATATTCTAGTGTTTGTGAGCAGAGATATTCAAGCATTAAGCTATTGTTTTTGGTAAAATGATTTAATGCAGATCTGTAGGAAGTTGTATTTTCAAACTCTAAAGCGATTCTAATACATTTAGAGACGTATTGTTTTCTGCTCTTGAAGGATCTGTGACTGTCTCTGCTCTCTCTGTGTCGCAGGTGTTGGTTGAGACGCTGGATAAATGCTTCGAGAACGTGTGTGAGCTGGACCTGATCTTCCACGTGGATAAGGTGATGCACGCTTCACAATCGAGTGCTAGCGCTAGCCGCGGGACGCTGAGCCGTCTGTTCTCTGTGTCCGCAGGTGCACAACATCCTAGCGGAGATGGTGATGGGCGGCATGGTGCTGGAGACCAACATGAGCGAGATCATCACGCAGGTGGAGGCGCAGGGCAAGATGGAGAAGTCTGAGGTGAGAGCGGCTCCGCTGCTGCATGCGCATGTCCCAGAATGCCCTTCTGTGATGCCTCGGTTAGAGATCTGAGAGGAGCAGCTTCGACAGATCGTTTCAGAGCAGCAGGAAAACCACACAATCAATGATGCAGACCTCATCAAATATGAGACCAGGTCAAGACAATAGAGTCATAATTCAGATCAATAACAGAGCCGGTGTTGCTAAAGCCGTCGAGTATAAGCACATTCAATTCAGATATAAAGCAGAAGACAATACACTGCAAAAAATGATTCTCTTACTTAGTGTTTTTGTCTTGTGTTAATAACATTCTTGAATCAAGATGCATTTACTGTACAAGTAAAATGATTTAAGATATTAAGTCTTGTTTTCTAAAAAAAAAAGAAATGTAAAAATGTTGTGAGTTTTTGCTTAAAACAAGCAGAAATATCTGCCAGTGGGGTAAGAAAAATTATCTTAATTCAAAGGCTAAACAAGATTATTTTTCTTGCACCATTAGCAGATATTTCTGCTAGTTTTAAGCAAAAACTCACAAAATTTCTACATTTTTACAGAAAACAAGGCTAAAAAAATATTAATATTTTTGTCATGTTTCGCCTCAAACTCAAAGATAACGTGTATATATATATACAGTGGTTACGGAAAGTATTCAGACCCCCTTAATGAATTAAATTCTGTGCGACGAACACTGCTTAGACACTGTGAACATTGAGGTCTCAATGCAAAAAGCCCTAACGCTGAAGTGAAATTAAGTTTTGATACATTTACGGCAGGAAATTTACAAAATATCTTCATGGAACATGATCTTTACTTAATATCCTAATGATTTTTGGCGTAAAAGAGAAATGTATAATTTTGACCCATACAATGTATTGTTGGCTATTGCTACAAATATACCTGTGCTGCTTATGACTGCTTTTGTGCTCTAGAGTAACATATAGTGCATATATGTATCAAAGGCTCCTCTGTAGAGCTATTGTTTCTGGCTGACGCAGCGCTCGGATCTCTCTGTGGGTCGTGACAGTTGTTCTGTATGAAGTGTGTTGATCTTGAGCTGCTGTAACTGTCTCTCTTCACTGTCTCCAGCTCTGTGCGTTTCTCTCCCTCTGCAGACCTTTGTCTTTCAGTGTCCCAGACAGGACAGGTAGACACAGGTACTGCTGAGCCCCACACACACCTCCTGAGGACCGACAGACGCTCACACGCACCAGATCTCCAGATCCAGCAGACCCACAACACAGCAGCATATTCATAAAGACATCAGATGATGTTTCATACACTACCAGTCAAAGGTTTTTGAACAGTGAGATTTTTTATGTTTTTAAAGAAAAAAACTCTTCTTCTTGAGCTGAAGAGACTTTCTTTCAAAGAAAAATCTTTTGACTGGTAGTGTATATAAAGCAAGTTAACCCATGTGTGAAGTGTTCCTGCGATGTTTGGCAGAGTGTGTGTCCGGTGTGGGACTGTCTGTCCTCAGGATCACAGCTTAGATTAGAGCAGATCTGTGTGAACATCATGAGATGAGAGTAGATACACACACACACACACTCACTCACTCTCACTCACTCACACTCACTCGCACACTCACTCACACTCACTCGCGCACACACACACACACACACACTCACTCACTCACTCACACACACACTCACACACACACACACACAC